CGCGGTCCCTGTGCTTTGCCAAGCTTGTTCCAAGTAGGTGCTTTAGACCACTGAGCCATCTCTCCAGCCCCTACTTGTTTTATTTCAAACATTTGTGCCATCACTTTCTTTATATCTCCTCCCCTGTAATCACTTTCAAGTTATTAGTCAAAAATATTTTAAATTTTAGAAGCTTTGGTTTTGGTTTCTTACCATGTACTCCATACTTACTTTGAATTCACTATGTAGTCCAGGATGACCTCAAACTCCTGGTTATTATCGTGCCTCAGCCTCCCAAATGCTGGGGATTATAGGTGTGTGCCATCACATCCAACACCCAAGTAAAACTTATTTGTACCAGGAATTGAATCCAGGACCTTGTGTTTGCCAGGCAAGTGCTGTGCCGCAGAGCTCAGAGTAAAATTTTGAAGGAGACTTGCTATCTAAACCATAATAAAGCCCAACATCTGATCATAGAAATTTTTGTGGTATTCTTCATAACTTAGCATACAATAATTTTTATCTTAAAAAATTTGAACTTGTTTCTTTAGCTGTGCCAAAAAGATGAAAACTTCTATCATACTTGCATGTTACCTTTTAATATACTTAATTCTTAACATATTCTAATATACCTGTATGTCTTTCCACTGGGTAGGAAGCTGTTTGAAGACAGAAGCTATTTCTTTTCTGTTAATCACCATTCCTAGAATGGTGCTCACTAAAAGTTTTTGTGGTTGTTTTGTTTAGTTATAAATAGATTCCTATAAACAAATGATGCAGGTAAGGGATTATATTAGCTTAGGATAGAGTGGTAGTAATCGAGACTAAAGGTACATTTTGGAGGGAGAAGCAAGACTTGATAGGTTGCAGTAACAGGAAAGTATCCCAGCTAGGCATTGTGGCACATGACTACAATCCTGGCAGCTGGGAGCCTGAGACAGGTAGATTGAGAGTCTGTGGCCAGAATGTGATAACTAACAAGACTCTCTCAAAACTGAGCAGTCAGAGGAAGACTTCTAGCCTTCAAGTTTATTAGAAGAGTATAAAAAGTAGTCAGTCTCTTCATTTCCTAAAATGAACAACAATTTCTTCTGTTGTGTTCATTATAATAGGTATCCACTTAGCCTCTCTATGATGGAATATTTGCTATCTCAAAACGCCTCACTGGGGAGGCTGAAAACAGGAGGATCACCATGAGTTTGAGCTGTGTAGTGAGACCGACCCTACGTGCGCGTGCGCACACACACATACACACACAAACAAAACCTATTTGCCTCCTTCTAATTGTTAGATAACATATCCTCATCTTTAATAGTAGCTAAATGTCCCCATTCTTTATTTCTGCAACTGATCTTTTGAGCCCAAATGAAAAATTGATATTTCACAAGGCAAGTGATAAATGAGTTTTAGTTATTTTAGGCAGTTGTATACTATTCAGTGCTTCACAACTCCCTTCCATAATAAAAATAAAGAGAAAAGGGAAGTAATCAAGAAAAAACACCCTGATTTATAATGTTTGCTGCTTTCCATAGTGTAAGTACTCCCATTAGAGACAGTTTCACATGAACAGCATTACACTAGATGTGGAAAAAAAATGGGAACAATGAACTTCCAGTAGAAAAAGTTAACAGAGGGGCTAGGATATAGCTTAGCGGCACAACATGTGGCTACCTGGTAAGCACAAGGTCCTGAGTTCAATTTCTGATACAAAAAAACCCGGAAAAGATTAAAGAGATATCCATTACTACATTGCTATTTAGAATGCTTTAGTTTCTTCATGGCAAAATTTATCTGAGCTTAGTGGTTCTTAGGACATCCTTTTTTTTTTTTTTTTAGGACATCCTTAATTGCTAGCTGACTCAGGGTAATGTCTTTTCCAGCACAGTAGCGCAAATTACAGATTTATTCCATTTAAATAATTAGAATTCTAGAAATGAAATAGGTTTTATACTTATAAAACCCACCAAGAACTTAAAAGCTCTGAATGAGTTATTTCAATGGAATTTTTATCTTTAGTTTGATAATGAGACAATAGAGGGCTTAAAGTATAGACTTTGATTATTTAAACTGAACGTCAGGTATCAATTCATTTCCTTACCCTTATTCTAGAAATAAGCAAATGGAAACTAATAGAACCTAATAGTTCAGAACTCAGAAAATGTATGTTTTTAATTTCAACAGCTATTTCATAGCTTCAGTTGTTCTTTTTTTGTTCTACTAAATCTGAAGACTTCTAGCAGTGAGTATTGAAAGTTCTTTTGGAGTCAGAAGCACCTCCTTGTCCTATAGTAGAGCTGTCAGAGTCAAAACAAAATTTAAAGAAAACATGCTTTCCACAGGTATTTGGTTCTTATATATTGACCTACTATGTTTGAATATATAAGAGAGAAGGGACTCTTCATATTTTCTTTCTAGATTTTTAAATTTCCAGTGTACGTTTGCTTCCAGATTTACTAATTCAATTTATTTTTCATGTACTAATCTTTGGATTATAGTAGAGCAGTGGTTTTCAAAGTACCTTTCTGAGCCCCTGCAAGGTGGTGATATAAAACAAAAGGTAACAAACCACTGACATTTTTATTTTCCACAATACCTAATAAAACTTTATTATCTTAATTCCACATAAAGCTTTATGATAGGGGCTGGCGAGATGGCTCAGTGGTCTAAAGCACCTACTTGGAACAAGCTTGGCAAAGCACAGGGACCGCGGTTCAATCCCCCAGCACCACAT